ACAGGAAAAAATTACATATATTAAACAGGCACTTTAGGGATCCTTTAGTATAAATAACTTTAATGTTTCTAATGACTATATATTTAAAAACATAGTCCTATAAGTCAGACATCTATATTATTGTCCTAAAAATGGCTTTGCATGTTCTAAAAGCAAATAATTTTCAAAACACAGAGATAATCAGACACAATTCATTAAAATAAAGCAAGTTATTCAATTCCACTAAAGTATAAGCAAAAAATATTAGAGAACAAAAAATACATACACAAAATAGAAAATTAGGCAATGTACAAGTAAATGTCAGTGGGTAGCACATAACTCTGTAAGGAATTCTCAAGTACCATTAAAATTTGTGAGTTCAATCTACAGAACAAAAAAATTGGCTGGGCATGGTGGCTCACACCTATAATCCTAGCACTTTGGTGAGCCAAGGCAGGAGAATTTCTTAAGGCCAGAAGTTTGAAACTAACCTGAGTGACATAGCAAGACCCTATATCTACAAAAAATAGTTTTGAAAAATTATCTATGTGTATATTTAGTGCCACTCCTAATGCTAGCACCAAGAACAAGTTCAAATGACTGGCATATTATAATATTATAAATTACTAATGAATTGCTTGAACAAAAAAGAAAAAAGAGGGTTATTTGATAACTCCGATCATAACTTACTGTTGCTATCCTGGTCTCCAGAAAGTTCTCCCTTTCTTCATCTACCTTAATTTCATGTCCATTTTTAAATAGTTCAAGCATTTGGGGGATGCCACAGCCAATAGAATCTGGTTAGAAAAACAAAAAACTCAAAATTATCACTACATCTAAATAAGTAGCAGAAATTACGGAATAAGACAAACATGCATTCCATGTGAAAATGCAGCAAATAAGTTGTGGCAGATGGACTTTAGGGTAGCCCCCAAAGATCCCCATCTCCTGGTGTTCATGCTCTCATACGATCCCTCCACTGAGTGTGGATAAGACCTGCAACTTGCTTCTAACCAAGAAGCAGAATGATTATGTGTGCATGATTACATTACATAAAACCATGATGCCTGTCTTGGAGGAGACTCTATCCCTTATTGGCTCTGAAGAGGCAAGCTACAATGTTGTGGGCTGCCATACAGAGGGCCGCAGGGCGAGAAGCTGAAAACAGCCTCAGGCTGACTGTCAGCAAGATAAAAACAGAAGCCCTTAGTCTAGCAGTCTACGAGGAACTGAACTCTGCCAACACCCATTTGAGTCTGGAAGCAGAACCATCCCCAGTCATGTCTCAGATGAGACGAGAGCCCCAACCAACACACTGACTGGAGCTTTGTGAGACCCGTAAGCAGAGCACCCAGCTCAGCTAACATCTATTCCTGACACACAGAAATGGTGAGATAATAAATGTGTGCTGTTTTAGGCCACTAAATTTGTAGTAATGTTGTTGCACTATTACAGATAACTAATAAATAAGTATATGCAATGATGATACTTAACATATTTTAAAAACACAGATGACATATTAAAATAAAATCTATAAATGATTATTCTATAGATGACAAAAGCTAAGTCTCAATAGTCTTGAGACTTAAGAACTTCTACCTACCTTGCACAGAATATACCTGACCTCCTTTACCATAAAGAAGTGAAAGAGCTAGCTAGCAGTAAGATTTAGCAGTGGAAACAATATCATAACGAATGACACAGTTTGAAATAGCTCACTACTACACAATGGTTATAGAAACTAGCATGAGAAAAGAATTAAAAACTGAAACTTAATTTATTGGATTCTAATGTCACTTTGTCCTCTACTAGGATGGAAAAAGAGATGCAAGTAAATATAGTAAGGAGAAACACAGAATCAGAGTAAAAATTAAGAATTTCAAAGGACCATACACGAAACTTCAAAAATAAAGTATATCCACCTAAGATTTAGTCATTATCACTTTAACACAAATTTAATACACAAAAATACATATTTTTAAAGTATGCTACCATACCATAACTAAATTTGAAAACTTTTAATTATATGCATAGAAAACGTGAAGTATTTGAAGGGTAAGAAGAAATACAATGAAGAATGTGCCGATAAAAGGACACCACTCCCTCTGCGCCTCTTGCAAGTCTTCCCTGGGTGAGTCCGCGTGAGGAGTTCCTCACACAGAGGGCACAGCCCGCCCGCAGCACGCATCGCTTCTGAGGGTCACCCAGCAGCGGCTCGGTACGGCTCAGGAGCACTTCAGCTGTAAATGAAAGTAACTACCTATGAAGAACTTATCATCTAATTGGGAGATAAGGGACATATGAATGGAACAATTCACAGTGTGATATAACTCAGCACTAAACAGTATGATAGATAGCATATTAGTAAACAGTAAATGCTAATAGTAGTACACAAAAAAAAGACACTGGGTTAAACCATCTGTATCTCTACCTAAACTTTTTTATTTAGATACACAAGTTTGTCAATAAGAATTGCCTAACCAGTGCATCTAACGCTTCATCCACCACGGGCATCCTTCCTGTTATACTAACCCCCCAAGGCATGCCTTTCATTTGCGACGATGCTCCTCCTCTCTCCCACAATGTCCATTTCCTTCCTAATCTCGTTAGCTTATTCATGAGACTACTTCTCAGGCGCGGTGTACGCCTCAATCCTAGCACTCTGGGAGCCGAGGCAGGAGTGTAGCTCAAGGTCAGGAGTTCTAAACCAGCCTGAGCAAGAGCGAGACCCCGTCTCTACTATAAATAGAAAGAAATTAATTGGCCAACTAATATACATAGAAAAAATGAGCCGGGCATGGTGGCACATGCCTGTAGTCCCAGTTACTCAGGAGGTGGAGGCAGGAGGATCACTTGACCCCAGGAGTTTGAGGTTGCTGTGAGCTAGGCTGACACCACGGCACTCACTCTAGCCTGGGCAACAAAGCGAGACTCTGTCTCAAAAACAAAAAAACTCCCTTCTCAAAATAAAACAAAAAACTTCACATTGTCTTCCAGTTACCATCTAACACTCCCTGTAAGAGCATAAGGTCTCCAAAAAACAGCTGTCTATCCTTTCTGCCTCTACTTCCTCTCCTTCCATTTTCTTTTATACTTACTTTAGTCAGGTCATCATTCCCATTACTCCACTAAAGATACACTTGTCAAGGTCAGCAGTGACCTTGGAGCTAGTCACTCCAATAGTCACTTCTCAGCGTTCCTCTGACCTGACCTATCCGCAGTGGTACACAGAGTGTGTCTCTGCCCTTCCTACAGCGTCTTGACTTGTCCCTCTGAAACCCTCTTCACTGGATGCTCCATTCTATCCACATCTCCCTAACTGATCCCCTCCGGACACGTGACTTTAAATACCATCCATCCTTTGACAATTGCTAAATCTCTACCTCTAGCCACAACCTCCCTCATGATTTCCAACCACCTACCTGACATCTCTACCTAGATACATGCAGTCAATTAGTAAGGATGACAAATTCTTTTGCTGGAAGAATGAACAAACAAATGACTTCATAATTTCAAGTCTGATATCATAGTGATGATGTAATGGTAATGAAGATGAAAAGAATAGGACTTAAGAAGGAAAGAAAAATAGTTCTCCATTAAAACATACTGATGTGGCCGGGCGTGGTGGCTCACACCTGTAATCCTAGCACTCTGGGAGGCCAAGGCAGGTGGATCGTTTGAGTTCAGGAGTTCGAAACCAACCTGAGCAAGAGCGAGACCCAGTCTCTACTATAAATAGAAAGAAATTAATTGGCCAACTAATATATATAGCAAAAATTAGCCAGGCGTGGTGGTGCATGCCTGTAGTTCCAGCTACTGGGGAGGCTGAGGCAGCAGGATCGCTTGAGCCCAGGAGTTTGAGGTTGCTGTGAGCCAGGCTGACATCACGGCACTCACTCTAGCCTGGGCAACAGAGTGAGACTCTGTCTCAAAAAACAAACAAACAAACAAAATACTGATATGAAGGTTCTAACAAAATACTGAAAGAAATATATGTGTATACAGTTAGAAAAAACAAACCAGAAAAGGTGATAGATTGAAGATGATGCAGATTTTAGTTTTTAAGTCAGTTCCATCCTAAAACAAACAAAAATAAAACTTCCTTCCTTTGATCTTATATAATTCTTTTCCTATCTTTCTCTTTATCTAATTTATAATTCCCTAATGACCAAGATGTTTAGTATCATCTCATGTGTTTAATGGCAAATTATATATATTCTTTTGAAACGTGCCTGTTTAATTCTTTTGTCCTTTTTTCAAAAAATTAGGGTAATAGTCATGTTAACTATATAAGAGTTCTTTGTATATTCTGGATATAAGTCTCCTTTGTCGGAGATATGTGGGCAAATATTTTCCCCTAATCTGTGGCTTGTCTTTTCATTTTCTTAGTGGTATCTACCCATAAGCAAAAGTTTTTAATTTTGATAACTTCCAATTTACTAATTATTTCTTCTATGGCTCATGCTTTTTTTGTGTCCTGAGACATCTTTGCCTAATCCAAGGTCACGAAGATTTTCTCCTAGAAAATTTTCTTCTAGAATTTCATGGCTGTACCCCTTACATTTAGGTCTGTGATCCATTTTGAATTAATTTTTGTATTTCACATGAAAGTTAAAGGATATCCAGTTATTTCAACACCATTCATTGAAAAAACTATTCTTTTTCTATGTGATCTTGGCACCTTTGTTGAAAAGTCAGTTTCAGTCCATTTCTGACCTTTCAACGTTTGAAAGTTCACCTACCCTTAGTGGTTCACCTACCCTAATGCCATACCACACCGTCTTGGTTGCTGCAGCTTTATAGTAGAGAAGACATACAAATGCCCGATAAGCTCATGAATAGATGTTCAACTCGGCAGTCTCTAAGGAAGTGCAAACTGAAGCTGTGAGACCTCAGGCACCAGGCGGTGGCAGGCGGGGGCCAAGGCGCTCCTGGAGGAGCCCGTGTCTCATGCAGAGTGACTTCTGCATACTTACTGAGCAGCCTTTCCAGCGCAGCTCCGTGGAGGAAAACAAAAACAACGTCTCCATGGCAGGCTATGATTGTGTCTTACATGGACCAAGCTCCCCTGCAAACACTAAATAGAAATTAGCAGAAATAAAGAGGCTCCCGTGGGACCCTGTGGGCCGTGGGGAATTCCCGGTGGGTGGGGGAGGAGGGAAGGTCAGATCCAGGGCAGTGTGGGGAGAGGGTCAGCCAGGCTGACGTGGCCAGTGGCCCCCAGCCTGGGGGGAGCCCAGGATGGCTTGCAGCCTCCAGCATGGGTGTTCCAGGTCCCGGAGGGAGCCCTCCTCCCACCGGCCGTGTCAGAGGCTGAGACCCCCAGGCCGGCAGAGGAGGGAAACCGGGAAGTGGCACCTGCTTCCTGCCACATCCCGGTCTGGAGAAATGGGATCGCCTCAGCTGAGGAACGGCCTACTCAGGACGGGTCTGGAACCACGTAGGACTGGGCTGCTGGCACCACCCAATGCCCCAGGACTCTGCACCACAGCCGGTCCCGCCTCAGCCTCCAGCCAGAAAGACCCACCTGTGCCTCCTGTGTCCGGCCTGGTCCCCTGGAGCCCGGGCAGGGCAGGGCCGAGTGCTCCGTCCAGCCCTCTCTCCCTGTCTGCCCGGCCCCGTCATGGTGTGGGGCGCGCCCCCCGTGCCCCAGGAGGGGGAGGAGCTGCAGTGGAGCTGGCCCAGGGTGGCCTCCACCCACCGGGGCTGAGGCATCAGCACCCAGGAGGGCTCTGGGGAGGGTCTTGCCATGCCCTGACCTTCATGCCTGTGTCACCGAGGCTGCAAAGGAAAGGAGCAGACACGATGCCAGAGGTCAACAGGCAAGTCATCCTTCCACTGTCACAGAGCAAAGGGTGGGGACTACTGGGACTGCAGGACACAGTCCGCCATAAGCGTCCAGGATGACAGGGTCAGTCATTCAGGGGAAGGCATCTTATTTCCAAACTCCTTTTACTTGGCGGACCAGAGAGCAGGCTGTCAATGCCCCAAACGTTATTAAGAACGTGTCACCCCCACCAGGAGGCTGCCAGGGCCTTGAGAAGGGGTGGCAGATCCTTCAAGCATGAGGAGGCGATGTGGGTGCCCGTGTTCTGGTCCATTTGGTATCTTTAAAACTACCCATGAGAGGAGCCTCCCACAGCAAAGCAGCACCCCTCCCACCGCTCTCCTCCTGCAGAGAGACTTGCCAGGGCCCAGGGGTGTCCACAGGTGAGCCAGGGGTCTGCCACTCACCTCACGCTGTCCTTGCAGGAGCTTCTGTGCGACCCTGGTCCCCCTTCCCTGGGTGGGCTCTGGGTCTGGAAACCAGCTTGGGTTAGAACTAGGTGTGAAAAGCCACTTTCCGCTTGCCCCCACCAAGGCCACCTCGGGCAGAAGAGGGATGACACCCTTTTGCTCTCAGATATGGGCTCCATGGTGCCCTCACTCTCTGCACCACCTTTGCTTCCTTGTCTACAGCCACACCACCCTGAACACGCCCAATCTTGTCTGATCTCGGAAGCTAAGCAGGGTCAGGCCTGGTTAGTACTTGGATGGGAGACCCTTTCTTCCTAAGTGATCCCAGCAACCCTAGGCCTGCTGTAAAGGCTGCATTTGCCCCACCCTGTGGGCGGAAGTCCTGTGCCAACCCCACATCCCAAACCCTCGCTGCACTCCCTGACTGCACCTGGTCCTGAGGCAGGACCTTAGGCACAGGCTCTCTGAATCATCTCTGGGTGTCTAGAATAGGTTCTCTGCTCTGACCTGCAGGGCATTCACGCCCTGTTTCCTGGGGTCCTGGGTGCTCATTGCACACAGGAATGGCAAATAGGTACTAAAATTGTCAGCAAAGTTTCATCTGTAATCAAGCGTAGCCGGTGAATAGGTGCTTCCAATTGTGTTGCAGAACTTGGGGGAATAGGGGAAAGCCCCCAGTTCAGCACCAAAAGTCCCAGGCAAACCGGGACAGTTGCCATAACAAGTGGAGACACTCCTCAAAAACCAAGGAAGCAGTCTGGGGGCACCCAGAATCCCAGCCCTTCTTGGTCTCCTGCACAGAGGTGCAAAGTCTCCAGGCCCCAAAGAGCCCAGGGAAGGAAACTCCTGCACCTCCGCTGCAGCCAGGCCTCTGGCCCAGTGGGTGTGATCCTCGGTTCTCTTAGGCAAAGGACCGCCAGCCAGCCTGTGGCAGGGATCAAGGCCAAAGCTCTGCCCACCCTGCTCCCACCAAGGACTTATTTGGCCTCTGCCCCCTCACCGAACTCTGCAGATAGAGCAGCCCCTACCAACTGGGGTGGGCTGCATGCTCCCAGGGGAGGCCACTGTCCCAAGCCAGTGCCTGCTCTCCACCAGAACGAGCACAGGGCCAGCACGGATCCCATCCCCAGGGTACAGGAGTGCCGTCTGGCCCTGACTCCAGCCCTGCATGGGGCACACACATCAGCATTTAGAGTGGCACAGGCTCTGTCCACAGCACAGTGAGGAAGCTGTGATCAAAGCTCTCACCAGACCCATCCAAGGAACCCAAAGCCTGGCTCCGTCTCAAGCTCTGGGTGGACTTGGCTGACCCTGAGCAGGCTAAGCCCCCGTCACTAGGATATTTACCTAAAATGAGGAACTTGCTCACCACTTTGAGTCCCCTGGACGTTGGCTAAATTAATAGTAACTGCATTTAAAACTGTGTCTGCCTTTACTCTTATCTGAGACTTTGACATTCAAAGTCTCCATCAGTTAGTCAATAGAGGCTATTGCTGCCTCACATTTAGGTTGGTCTAACCTGCCATTCAGGCCAGACAAGGGGCTCAGGGGAGGGCTGGGATCAGGGCTGGGGAGAGGGGTGGGGTGTGGGCTGGGGTGAGGGCTCAGGTCCAGCTCAGGTTTGTGCTGTCCAGGGTTTGAGTACCAGGCCTGCTTTGACTTTTTCACTGGTTTCTGTGCCTCAGTATCCCCATAAGGACGACCAGAATAACCAGTGCATGTTAGCGCTGTCCCAGAGGACCACAAGCAGGCGCTGCATGAGGTTTCCGCCAGTGACATTCAGCTACTCATTTACCCTCGAGGTGGCGCATGCCTGTAATCCTAGCACTCTGGGAGGTCGAGGCAGGAGGATCGCTTGGCCCAGGAATTTGAGGCTGCTGTGAGCTGGGCTGACGCCACGGCACTCTAGCCCGAGAGACAGAGTGAGACTCTGTCTCACAAAAACAAAAACAAAAAAAACTACCGTCAGCAATGCTGATCGCGGGAGTGTGTCAGGTGTTTCAGGCTTTAACCAAGCCGCCAATGGGGGGAGCAGCCGTGGCCTGCCTGGGACCACGGGGTGCCCCTTTCCCGCCCCTCTCCGTCCTCTCCCCATCCCAGTCCTCCCGCCCCGCCCCTCTCCGTCCTCTCCCCATCCCGGTCCTCCCGCCCCCGCCCCTCTCCAGTCCTGCTCCCTCCTGGGTCTCCCCGCCCCCCCGTGCTCCGTGCTCTCCCATCTCCGGTCCGCTCCCGGCCCCTGGCCCCTTTCGTCCCTTCTCCCGATCTCGGTCCTCCCGCTCCCCGCCCCCTCTCGTCCTCTCCCAGCCTGGTCCTCCCGCCCCGCGCCCTCTCCGTCTCCTTCTCGCATCCTCGTCCTTCCCGCCCCGGCCCCTCTCCGTCCTCCTCCCATGCTCGGTCCTTCCCGCCCCTGCCTCTTCGCTTCCTCTCTCTCGTCCTCCCGCCGCCCGCCCCTTCTCGTCCTCTCCCCATCCTGTCCTCCCGCCCCCGCCGCCTCTCCGTCCTCTCCCGACCCTCGTCCTCCCGGCCCCCGCGCCTTCGCGTCCTCTCCCCAGTCCCGTTCCTCCCACCCCCAGCCCCCTTCTCCGTCCTGTCTGCCTCATCCTCGTGCTCCGGGCGGCCCCGCCCCTCTCCGTCCTATCCCCATTGCCTGGCCTCCGCCCCCGCCCCTCTCCGTCCTCTCCTCATCCTCGTCCCCACCCCCACGCCCTTACCGTCCTCTCTCATCGCTCGTCCTCTCGGCCCCCGCCCTTCTCCCGTCCTCTCCCCATCTCGGTCCTCCGCCCCGCCCCGTTTCGTCCTCGTCCCCATCTCGCCTCCCGCCCCCCGCCCTCGTCTGCCTCTCCCCTCCTGGTTCCTCCCGCCCCCGCCCCTCTCCGTCTCTCCCATCCGTCCCCCGCCCCCGCCCTCTACCTCCTCTCTCTGCATCCTCGGTTCCCCGCGCGCCCACCCCTCTCCGTCTCTCGCCATGTCCTGGTGCCTCCGCCCCCGCCCTCTCCGTCCTCTCCTCATCCTCGTCCTCCGGCCCCCGCCCCTCTCCGTCCTCCCCATCTCGGTCCTCCCGCCCCCGCCCCTCTCGTCCTCTCCCCATCCCGGTCCTCCCGCCCCCGCCCCGCCCCTCTCCGTTCTCTCCCATCCCGATCCTTCCCGCCCCCGCCCCTCTCCGTCCTCTCCCATCCCCGTCCGGCCCCCCCCGCGCCCTGCTCCGTCTCTCCCATCCCGATCCTGCCCGCCCCGCCCCTCTCGTCGTCTCCCATCCGTGCCTCGCCGCCCCCGCCCCTCGTCGCCTGCTCCCCCACCGCCGTCGCGCCCGACGCCGCCTCTGCGCGCGACGCCCGCCGCGCGAGGCTCCGCTAGTGCGCGCGCGCCGCCAGACGGGCGCAATGCCGGACCCGCGGGCGGGGGCGGTAGGCCGGGATGGAGAAGACGAGAGGCGGGGAAGGGGCACGGGGGAGGCGGGGTCTGGAGTGTGGAGGAGCAGGTGGGGGTGGGCGGGCAGGTGGAGGCGGGGGCTGGAGGTGGGCCTCGGGCGGCCGTACCCCCGCAGGGTGGGCCCCACGGCCCTGGAAGGGGTTCGGGTCTTGGGAGCTCCTGCCAAGGCTGGCCCGCCGGGGCCCGAGGGCAGAGGGTCCCCCAAGCTGCGCGGGGTCGGGGGTCCCAGAGCCGGGCCCACCCGGGAAAGTGCAGGCGGCGCTGGAGGTGGGGGGGCGGGGGCGTTTCCCTCTTCCTTAAGGCTGCAGGTGGCCCTGTGGGCCTGGCAGGCCTGGACTGGAGAGGATGTGGTGTCGGGGCCCCTGCCAGGCATCAGTGCTCCTTCCAGGCCCAGCACACGGCCAGCTCCCTCCCCACCCCCGACCCCGTGCCTGGCCAGGTGCAGATGGGTGAGCTGCTGTCTGCCTGAGGTGGCGCAGAGCAGGTCCAAGCCCCGACCAGCTAGGGCTGTGGCTCAGGGCAGATTCCCAAAACCTACCCCAGGATAAGGCTGGCTCCTGCCACCCCACAGTGGCTGATGAGAGGGCGGGGACTCGGGCTCCTTCCTGGGGACTGTCTCCAGCCCATCTGCCCAGTACATGCCCAGCCCACCCTCCATGGGATGCAACCTGGTGTCTCCCTCAGTGCCCTGTAAGCAGGGTGTGTCACGTTGGGCTGGTGCCGCATCTGAGCTTCAGGATCACTCCTCCCCACTATGGCTCAGCACATACACCTGTGCAGTCCAGGTGAGCCCAACAGGTGGAATGTTCTCTCAACAAAGGGCCCTGGGCCGGTGGCGGTGGCTCACGCCTGTAATCCTAGCACTCTGGGAGGCTGAGACAGGAGGCTCGAGGTCAGGAGTTCGAAACCAGCCTGAGCAGGAGTGAGACACCCCCCCCCGTCTCTACTATAAATAGAAAGAAATTAATTGGCCAACTAATATATATAGAGAGAGAAAAAATTAGCCAGGCATGGTGGTGCATGCCTGTAGTCCCAGCTACTCGGGAGGCTGAGGCAGGAGGATTGCTTAAGCCCAGGAGTTTGAGGTTGCTGTGAGCTAGGCTGATGCCACAGCACTCATTCTAGCCTGGGCAACAAAGCAAGACTCTGTCTCAAAAAATAAAAAAATGTGTCCCCTGCACTGGGTGGCATTTCTGAAACCCAGATGTCTCTGGGCCCTCCTGTGGCTCCCTCCTGGAAGGCTGGAGGGAGCGGGAAAGGCTTACCAACCACATCTCAGCCGGGGAAGCTAATCATTCCCAGAGCGGGCAGGTGGCCTGTCCCGGATAACCCCATGGGCCCTCACAGAAAGGGTGTCAACTGGCACCTGACAGCAGAGCGTCCTGTCCTGTCACAGGACATGCATGTGACCAGGAATTCAGAACTCCCCGAGGGGAAGCTCTCTTGGGGGGAAGAAGTGCTGGCCCTGCAGGGACTGAGGGGAAGATGCGCCAGAGACAGGGAGGAGCCCTCGCGCCTCCCACCTCAGGTGGTGGCTTCAGACCTCTTAGAGGGAGAGCTAGGCACTTGGTTCTGTTGTGTTTTATTGGGGTTAAACACATACACAGAAAAGCTCTCGGAACACACGTGTGCAGCTCCAAGAACACTCACAACAAACACCCACGAAACCACCATAAGGCAAGAGGGGGAGGAGGGGGCTGGGGCTGGGGCTTGCTGGCAGGCTGGGGGCTCTCAGGGTGGCTTTGCGCATCGGCACCTGCTGGGGAGGCGGAGGGCAGACCCCAGCCGGAGGCGTCACACTTGCCCGGGGGAGATGCCAGGGTTCAGTCTGCACGTGCACAGCAGCCAGAAGATGCAGACGGTCGTGGAAACCCAGATCCACACGTCCTTGTAGGGCTCGGCCGGTGGCCTTCGGCAGGCGCGGCCAGGGCAGAGGTCTGCCTCTCTGCGGCGGCCACGGCTGGGCTTGCCGAGCGAGCCTGGACCTCAGCCGCCTCTTCCTGCAATCGCTGTAGATGACCAAGCCATTGTCTTGGGGGCCGTGGGCGGTGTGGCCGGGGCCCTTGAGAATCATGTCCAGGACTGAGAAGGGGATGGTGATGGAGCCCTCGCTGACGCAGACGGGGCTGTGGGCGCTGGCCGGCGGGCAGGACTCGTGGCCCGCAGGGCCCTGGCTGCCGTCTTCCTTCTCTCTGCCTTCGGTGATGTCAGTGAAAGAGTCTCTGCCTTTGACGCCACCAGGAAGGGAGGAGGAGGCCAGGGAGCCCTCACCCTCAGAAGTGAGGCCACCGGCATTGGTCGCTGGACTGAGGTCGTGACCGGCAGTGGCGAGGCCCTGGTGGCCACCCTCCTTCCGGTTGCCTTGGGCAACACCAGCGAAGGCGTCTGCGTCCTCGGTGAGGGCGAAGGGGAATGTGACTGAGTGCTCCTCCCTGGCCGTGGGGCCCCCTCCTGCCCTCCACCCTCCGCCCAGCAGGTGAAGGCGTCCTTGTCCCCCATGGCCCTGGCAAAGGACAGGGGGAAGGTGGGGGAGCCCTCCCCATCGGGCCCGAGGCCGAGACGTGGGGCCCTGTCAGCGGGGCTGTGGGGCTGTCCGCAGGCCCCCGAGGCCGTGGCTGCAGGAGACGAGGCCCGGCCTCTGGCCACAACGACAGGGCGGGAGGAGGCGCCACCGGCTCTGAAGAGGAAGTCTCCGAGCTCGAAGGTCCTCTGGACTTCGAGGAGGAGGCCTCTGCCCTGGAAGATGGGGTCTCTGACGCCCACCGCGATGCCTTTGCCCTCAGGGGCAGCTGTGGAGCTCCCGGACAGACAGATGGAGCCCTTGCAGAGGACGCTTGGCCCTCGCTGCCAGCTGCAGGGAGGGAGCTGCCCCCAGGGGAGGCACCACCGTGGGCGACTGGCCCCTGGTCCATGCCCATGTCCACAAGGGAGAAGGGCACAGAGACAAAGCTGCAGCCCTTGCTCTCAGAGAGGGGCTCTCGATGAACTCGAACACACAGAGAGAGATGGTGACCAGGCCCCTGGCGCACCTGGCCGGGGGGCCACTGCTGGGGGCGGACGGTGGTGTGCCCCTAGAGATGGAGCTGCTGCCGCCCAGGGCAGCAATGGGGACGCGACCGTCGTTCCCGGCATGGCTGCGCTCGGCAGCGACAGGGCTCCCGGCCACCGGCCCCCAGGCAGGGTCTGGGACCTTCTGGAGGAAGCAGACCCTCAGGTGGCAGGCCTCACAGCGGTCCCCAAAGCACATCTGGGGACACTGGTCTGGGCTGAGCCTGTCCCCGTAGCATTTCTGCAGGATGTGCAGGACCAGCCTGCTGAGGAAGATGTGGACGTTGAGAGGGCTCACATGGCAATCCACGGGGGGGGGGGACACAGCCGGCACCGCTGGCCCCAGACGCGCATCTTCACCAGCCCCCGGCGGCTGTCCCTGTCCCACCACAGGTGGAAGAGGACGTGCACGTGGGCGGAGGACCAGGCCCACAGGCAGCGGCTGCACTGGAGCCTGCAGGGGAGAGAGACACCGGTGAGGGGCAGACACCTAGGCCCTCTTACCCACCCACAGCCCACACTCAAACCCCAAACCTCAAACCTCAGCCACCAGCCAGCCGGCCAGGGCTGAGGCCACCGCAGCCTCCTCCTGCCTATGCACACGATCCAACCCCCCCCCCCCAAGCCCTTCATGCACACGAAGACAGAGAGCAGGTCCACACCTCTTGCCTGCAACCCCATGATCTGTGAGATGAAAAGCAAACACCATCCCACCACTTTGGCACCAAAACTCACTCCAGTCTGACCTCTGCAAGGTATGAGCTGCTTGCTGCTTTCTGTGGCTTTCCTGCTGTTTTGTCACTCGGGGCTTGACGAGTGTCAGAGGCAGCCCTATGCACAGCGCTCCGGACGAGGAGGGCAAGCGTCTGCGAGGGCTCAGCCCGTGGGGTTCTGCAAGATGAGGCCTGGCGGGTCCCCGTCCCGAATGAGCACAAGGTGACACCGCCACTACCTGTCAGCTGAAGTGGAAACAGCCGAGGAGTGCTGCCCAGGACACGCTGCGTGCACCGCGGGTGGGGAGATCTGGGGAGAGCGCTGGGGACAGGGGTGGCCTGTCAGCATGTGTCACCAGAGGGGCGACCATTGCTGGGCACACGCACAGCTACGAGCTTAGCAAGACCTTGCTTCAGCACCGTCTGGTGGAACTTTCCAGATTACAGGATGTTCTACATCTGCACAGCCCAGTGGGCAGCCTCCAGCCGTGGTGGGCACAGAGCCCATGGACAGGGATCGTGTCCAAGGAACCAAGCCTCTAACTTTATTTAAACGTGATTGACAAGCACGTCAAAGTCGCCTGGCGCTGGTGGCTGCTTGCTGTGGTGCAGGCCCCCTCGCTGCCTGTGCCCCAGCTCTGTCCCCCACCTGAAGCTGCGCACCTGCGCCTCTCCAGCTGCTCGGAGCATGCTGCACTCAGGCGCTGCACAGACCCCACTGAGGTTATTTCTTTCCTGGCACCTGAACAAGCTGGGGTCCCCCGCACACCTGGCCTCAGGGACTCCAGGCACTGTGGAGCTGTGGCATCGGGTCAGAGGGCAGAACAATTCCCCTCTGCCCCTGGTGTCCCCACAGAGCGACCGACAGGCCAGCACCCTGGAGGCCTGATGGGCCGAGCTTTTGCAAGGCCCCGGAGTTTCCATGCGCCCTCCCAGCTGGCCCCCTGCACAGCCGGGGAGGCCTCCCTGGGGGGCAGCCTGTGGCTATTGTCGTGACGATGGATGTGAGGCTCACTAGTGACCCACGGCCACCTCAGGGCCCCCACCCAGCCCCCCACATGCAGCCCAGGCTGGGGAGAGCGCCGCCCCATCTCTGAGGCCACGTGGCCTGCTCCTCACACCCCTCAGCCTCCACCTGAGGTGGGGCCACCGCCTGTCAGGCCCGTCGGCAGCTCTGGCCACACAGCACCCACGGCACCTGCAAATTCGGCGCCCACGGCACCTTCGAATTCAGAGCCACAGCACCTGCGAACTCAGCACCCACGGCACCTGCGAATTCAGAGCCACGGCACCTGCGAATTCGGCGCCCACAGCACCTGCGAATTCAGAGCCCACGGCACCTGTGAATTCAGCGCCCACCCTTCAGCACTGACGGTAGTGAAGCCGTGGCAGAGCTCACAGAGATGAGCCATGTCCGAGGATTGCACTGGCCAGCAGAGCCGGAGGGAGTGAAACCAATCCTCCGTGGGCACTGCCAGGTCACCCCACCAGGGCCCTGGCTTCGGCAGCCACGTGGCCAGCACCGCCAGGCGGGGGCTGTGCTCCACAGTGCTCAGCGCCTGGAACCACCCACCCACCTGGGGGATGAGACTGGACAGACAGGTGCTCCAGTTGGCTGACAGCCCTCTGCTCCCAGCCAGCCCAGCCTGGCCCTCCAGGACCACCTGAGGGCTGGAGGGGAAGCACCTTCAGCCCCTCCCTCTCCCATGACCAGGCCTTGGCCGCAGCTGGAGAGACCCTTCAGCTGGTACTGGAGACCACCACTGTCCAGGCACCCTGCAGCCAGACTGTCCTGGGGGAGCAGAGCCCAGTTGTCCTGGGGCTTCGTTTCGGCCATCAGCTGGGCAAAGGTGCGGGCCCACACGTCAGCCCCAGCCCCGGCCATGCTGCCACGCTCTGCAGTGCTGGCAAGGGCTGCCCACTGGGGAATCCGAGGAAGCATCCCCACATCCAGCATGCCGACCAATCAGCATCTTGACAGCAGCACCATCTCCATGGCAACCAGTTTGTCTCGGAGAACAGGAAGCAGCATGGAAAACACAGTCCAGTGAAACCTCCACTGATCCCACACCCAGAGTCTGCAGTCAGGTGACTTGGAGCTGGCATGTCACGTCCGTGTGTCTCCACGCACAGAACACATAAAGAGTCATGTCTGTTTTCACAAATAGAGATCATGGGAAACACATCACCCTATAGCCTGCTCTTACTGCACAGCGTCCCACGAGGCGCGCTCCGTACTCTGCCCTTCTCAATGTCTGGTACTCGTCCAGGTCACGGCTGTGCTGTGATCTACGCCACTCTGCCCGTGCCCAGCGATGCTCATTCCTGCCACTGAACACAAAGTCGTGAGGAGCTTTATGGAACAGGTATCACTGCGCATTTTCCCATGGGTTTTTCCTTTTAACCTTTTTATTAATGGGAAATATATACCATTTGCATAAAAATGCCTAAAACATAAATGCCTAACTTCACAAATTATTGTAAAAATGGGTCACCTAGGGCAGTGGTCCCCAACCTTTTTGGCGCCAGAGAACAGTTTCATGTAAGACTGTTTTTCCACGACGGGGGTGAAGGCAGGCGGCCAGCAGCGGAGCTCAGCGGCCCAGTCCCTGACAGGCATGGGCCAGTGCTGGTCCGTAGCCCAGGCACTGGGGACCGCAGACCCAGAGGAATAAGACACAGAACCTCACCCGCCAGAGCTCTGCCCGCGCCTCCGTGTTTCAGTGCCACTGGCCCTCCCCACTGGGCCGCAGCCAGCTGCGTGCTGCCAGTCCCTGCAGTGGCCCGTCCCCTGGGCCTGGGGGCAGCAAGGCAGCACAGCAAGGAAGGGCTGAAGCCAGGGGCACAATGACGGTCAGCGTGCACTGAGCCCTTGCTCCCACAGAGCCACGCAGAGGTGTGCAGTTCCAGGAGCCCCGGGGCCACCTCGCCTGGGCCCACCGTGGGCAGGTGTGTGTTCTTGGTCCAGCGTGCTGTGTGGCTGCTGCCACTGGGCTGCCCCAGGCAGGTGGGTCCCAGAGCCTACAGCCGGCGCAGCTTCTGTCCAGCCAAAGGCCCTGCACCCAAAGGCCCTTCCCCTGCATCCAACCAAGCCGGGGAGGCCTCCCCAGAAGTTACTGGACAGGGACCCTTCTGCATGCCCGGGGGGACAGCAGCCTTTCGGGGGCATCCTGCGTTCGCAGGGTACGGCTGCATGTCAGAGCTCAGGCGCGGCTGCAACTTGGCCAGCAGGGTCACCAGCAGGAGCCTGAGTGACGCCCACGGTGGTGGAGTGAGAGGGCAGGAAAGTGCCACACACACAGCACACATGACCACAGATACACGCAACATATAAGCACACAAACACTACACACAACACACACTGTACACAACACACACAGCACACATGACAACAGATACACGCAACATACAAGTACAAAACCACTACACACAACATACAAGCACACAAACACTACACACAACGCACACTGTACACAACACACACAGCACACATGACCACAGATACACGCAACATACAAGCACACAAACACTGTACACAACACACACTGTACACAACACACATGACCACAGATGCAACATACAAGCACAAAAACACTACACACAACACACACTGTACACAACACACATGACCACAGATACACACAACATACAAGCACAAAAACACTACACACAACACACACTGTACACAACATACACTGTACACATGACCACAGGTACACACAACATACAAGCACAAAAACACTACACACAACACACTGTACACAACACACACTGTACACATGACCACAGATACATAGCTACACACAACATACAAGCACATAAACACACACTACACAAACTATACAAAACACACACTGTACATGTGACCACAGATATGCAGCTACACACAACATACAAGCACACAAATACAACACACACTATACACAACACACGGCCACAGATACATAGCTACACACAACATACAAACAACTGTACACACTATGCACTCATACCACACAAAAAACACTACACACACCACACACAATACACATGAACACGAACACCTGCACACACCCACACACGCAGACATGCACACACATTGGGAGATTTAAAATACTCACAGTTACACTACTAACCACATTCTGGAAAGTTTACAAAGTAACGGGGAGGGTAGAAATCACCTCTGACACCCCCACCGTAACAAACAACCCGTCCGTCTTTATTCTTGTGTATGATAAACTGGAATTATCTCATTCAGTCTTTAAAAATTTTGTTCTTAAACTGGGCAGATAAATTCATCATTCTTTTTTAACTTCTGGGAAATGTTTCAAAAACAGGACAGAACAGAAAGTTTTTATTTGCAAACACAATTAACCATTTCCTGTTCAACCTCAGAAGCAGCCGAGAATCAGGCCGCTGCCTCCTGGCTACCGAGCCCCGCCAGGGCGGCCACGCGTCCTTCGCCCGGGCGGACGTCTCCGCACGGGCTCACGTCGGGTTTCGGGTGCCCTCCACCTGCACTGCAGAAGCGGTTTCAGGATGATCCTCCTGCTTCCTGTGCTTCCTGGGACCTGTCCCCGTGTATGGAAATGTCCCGTGCCTCGAGACAGCCGGGGAAGCCCCTGCGCCCACTTTCCATCTGTGCCGGCTCATGTTCTCGCACTCGCCGCCCTCACGCGGCAGCTGCCGGTGCCAGTGTCCTGTCACAACCCAGCGCGGACGTCCGAACATGACAGCCTCCTCTTCTCCTCAGACCACAGGCTGGGACCCGGTCAGGGGACAACCTCTGGCGCGTCCCAAGGGGAGACCTGTCCAGGCACAGTCCTAGAGCTCCAGCCGGCCCCGCCTGGCCTCCGGGTGCCTGCCCTAGAGAGAACTCCTGTGGCCTTTACTTTCAGTCCCGGAGAACTGCGTCCGCCCGGTGACTTGCAGAGAAGAGCGGCTGAGTTGCTCGCATGTGTCCACACCGCAGGCCGCGCGGCTCGGCGGTGACCAGGATGCCAGGCGCCCGAAACAGCCACAGTGCCACTCCAGCGCCTCCAGGCTGCGTGGATCGGCCGGTCCCGAGAGAACACAGCCCTGCCATCGGTGTGCGTGCCTCTGTCGAGATGAAGAACCAGCACGGGGGGGGACAGAGCCGTGTTGCCAGGAGGGAGGCGGGTGTGGCTCCCTGGGGACGGAGGTTCCGCAGCTCTGCCGTGGGGGGTGCCTGGCCTTTGCTTGTGCAAAGTCGCACACCTGGACACACACGTCGGTGATGCTCCAGCACTGCTGCGCAGGTGAGATCGGTGGACACACCCAAGTCCTCGCCTGCTTGTGACGCTGTCCTGCAGTGTGCAGACTGTTACCACTTGGAGAAACTGGGTAAGGTGTATGAGGGAAGAGCTGTATAACTTTCTCAAACGGCAGGTGAATCTACAGGCACCCCAACTGTAAACAGCACAACACTCAATCGAAACATCCACAACTCCTTCCCTGCGCTGCAGACCCCGCCCAGACCCAGGCCCAGCCACTGGGAGGAAGGAGAGGGCAGCCCCTGGGGGGCTGGGGCCTCCTCATGATGGGTGAGGAAGGGCGGGGCAGGGCGGGAGGCCCAGCCAGCCCAGGTGCCCCCACCCCATCCAGCCCCTTCATTTCCTCCTAGTGCTAAGGTGGGAGGGAGGCACCTGCAAGGCTGGGCTTGTTGAAGGATAGACAGTGTGTGTGCGCGTGCGCATGTGTGTGCTGGGGATAGAGTGTGTGTTGGGAATAGTGTGCGTGTTGGGGATAGAGTGCGTGTTGGGAATAGTGTGAGTGTTGGGGATAGTGTGCGTGTTGGGAATAGTGTGCGTGTTGGGAATAGTGTGCGTGTTGGGAATAGTGGGTGTGTTGGGGATAGAGAGTGTGTCGGGAATAGTGTGCGTGTTGGGGATAGAGTGTGTGTTGGGAATAGTGTGCGTGTTGGGGATAGAGTGTGTGTTGGGAATAGTGTGCGTGTTGGGGATAGAGTGCGTGTTGGGAATAGTGTGCGTATTGGGGATAGAGTGCGTGTTGGGGATAGAGTGTGTGTTGGGGATAGTGTGAGTGTTGGGGATAGAGTGTGTGTTGGGAATAGTGTGCGTGTTGGGAATAGTGTGTGTGTTGGGGATAGAGTGTGTGTTGGGAATAGTGTGCGTGCTGGGGATAGAGTGTGTGTTGGGAATAGTGTGTGTGTTGGGGATAGTGTGCGTGTTGGGAATAGTGTGTGTGTTGGGGATAGAGTGTGTGTTGGGAATAGTGTGCGTGTTGGGGATAGAGTGTGTGTTGGGGATAGAGTGCATGTTGGGGATAGAGTGTGTGTTGGGAATAATGTGTGTGTTGGGGATAGAATGTGTGTTGGGATTAGTGTGCATGTTGGGAATAGTGTGCGTGTTGGGGATAGAGTGCGTGTTGGGAATAGTGTGCGTGTTGGGGATAGAGTGTGTGTTGGGAATAGTGTGCGTGTTGGGGATAGAGTGCGTGTTGGGAATAGTGTGCGTGTTGGGGATAGAGTGCGTGTTGAGGATAGAGTGCGTGTTGGGAATAGTGTGCGTGTTGGGAATAGTGTGCGTGTTGGGGATAGAGTGCGTGTTGGGGATAGTGTGCGTGTTGGGGATAGAGTGCGTGTTGGGAATAGTGTGCGTGTTGGGGATAGAGTGCGTGTTGGGAATAGTGTGCGTGTTGGGGATAGTGTGTGTGTTGGGAATAGTGTGTGTGTTGGGGATTGTGTGTGTTTTGGGGGTAATGTGTGTTGGGGGTTGTGCATGTGTGTTGGGAATAGTGTGTATGTTGGGAATTGTGTGTGTCTTGGGGGTTGTGTGTGTGTTGGGGGTAGTATGTGTGTTGGGGATTGTATGTATATTGGGGATTGTGTGTGTGTTGGGGATTGTGTGTGTTTTGGGGGTAGTGTGTGTTGGGGGTTGTGCATGTGTGTTGGGAATAGTGTGTATGTTGGGAATTGTGTGTGTCTTGGGGGTTGTGTGTGTCTTGGGGGTAGTATGTATGTTAGGGGTAGTATGTTTGTTGGGGATTGTATGTATATTGGGGATTGTGTGTTTTGGGGGTTGTGTGTGTGTTGGGGGTAGTATGTGTGTTGGGGATTATGTGTTGGGGGTTGTGTGTGTGTTGGGGATTGTGTGTGTTGGGGGCAGTGTGTGTTGGGGGCAGTGTGTGTGGGGGATTGTGTGTGTTGGGGGCAGTGTGTGTTGGGGGCAGTGTGTGTTGGGGGTTGTGTGTGTTGGGGGCAGTGTGTGTTGGGGGCAGTGTGTGTGGGGGATTGTGTGTGTTGGGGGCAGTGTGTGTTGGGGATTGTGTGTGTTGGGGGCAGTGTGTATTGGGGGCAGTGTGTGTTGGGAATTGTGTGTGTTGGGGATAGTGTGTGTGTTGGGGATTGTGTGTGTTGGGGATAGTGTGTGTGTTGGGGATTGTGTGTGTTGGGGGTAGTGTGTGTTAGGAATTGTGTGTGTTGGGGGCAGTGTGTGTTGGGGATTGTGTGTGTTGGGGGTAGTGTGTGAGCTGGGAATTATGTGTGTTGGGGATTGTGTGTTGGGGGTAGTGTGTGAGTTGGGAATTGTGTGTGTTGGGGATTGTGTGTGTGTTGGGGGTAGTGTGTGAGCTGGGAATTATGTGTGTTGGGGATTGTGTGTGTGTTGGGAATTGTGTGTGTTGGGGATTGTGTGTGTGTGTGTGTTGGGGATTGTGTGCATGTTGGGGGATGCGTGTGTGTTAGACACCGATAAGGGGTCAGGGGTGCAATATTGGGGTACAGGCCCTGCCCCAGGCGAAGCCCTGGACCCTCTAGCCTAGCCCACTAGGCCAGGCCTGCCCCCCCTCCCCAGAGGCCCTATCCTGACGGCTCAGACTCCTCAGACTCCAGACCTCTCTGGGCCCACGTGTCCCTTTTGGGGGCTCCAGTGGCAGCTGTACAGGGACACCAAACAGGGCCCCCAGTCTCAGCCCCAGCTCCATGTTGAGCCCCCCCCCCAGGGCTCTTCTCCCACTGCCCCAGGGGCCTCCTGGATGAATGGGGGGAGTGAAGGACAGAGAGGAGGGGGAGTGAAGGGAGAGGGAGGGGGAAGGGAAGGGAAGGGAGAGGGAGGCGGATGGGAGAGGGAGAGGGAGGGGCAGGGCCTGAAAATTGAACCCAAGCTCCCCCTGTACCCCTTCTGCCCCTCCAAGTGGAATTGCAGGTGCTGGTGGTAGGAGCCCCCAGGGGTGTGATGGTGTCTCCCACCCAGCGCCCTCCTGCACAGGCAGTGGCATTCCTGGTCCTGGTCGTGGTCCTCAGGGCACAGCTCGGAGCCTCGGGTCCCACAGGAAGGCCCTGCGCTGAGCTGGGACAGAGATTCAACATTAAACATGGTGACCACAGGCCTGGAGGGCAAGTTGTATCCAGAATCTATTTGAGGCCAAATTCCTGGGAGACCTGAGGCTCCCAGCTCTGCGGGGACGGGGCAGCAGAGCTGTCCTCAGAGGGCCACAGAGGCCACAGCCCGGCTGGAGGAGGCCTGGGCAGCCCTGAGGGACTCAGGGACCTGGGGGTCTGAGGCGTCCCCAGCCCAGCCGGCCTGCGACCCGCCCCCACAGAGCCCAGCAAGGAGACACCTGCCTCGCTGCCTGACCCGTCTGGCCAGCACGGTGGTGCTGCCAGGGCCCCAGAGGCACCCACCAAGCCCACCTGGCCGGGGGACCCCTCCCGCCATCTGCTCCACCCACACAGCCGCCGTGGCTGCGACTCCCATGAGCCGAAGCGCCTCAGACATCACCTTTGATGCTCTTTTTCCACGTTTTGGTGTGCTTTAATGTTTTCCCTTGGCAGCGCTGCGGAGCGACTCGAGCTGGGGCTGCCGCGCCCGCTGCCGGCGGTTTCTGGTCTCATCTCGGCTATTTTAAGCTGATGAGACCCACGCACCTTGTCACTAATATCAGCAGTTTCATTTTTCCTGTTTCCATTCAGTTGATAAAACGCTCAGAGCAGAAGGTAGTGAAATAACCAAACCATTTCGCAAATGAGAGGGGCTGTTCAGCCATGCTGGCCCAGCCCCACACAACCCAGGACCACCCCGCCCTGTCCAGACTGCGCTGGGGGCCCCCGGCGAGAGAGGAAACCAGCCCCCCCAGTCAACCGTCAACCTCCCCCCTTGGGCCGTCAGGAGGCATCTGAGAGTGGAAAGGTCTGGAAAGGAGGCTGCCCAGAGCCTGGTGTGGGGGTGCTGGAGGGCAGTGGGGGAGGGGATTGGCCGGACAGCTGTCATTCGGCAGGGACACCTGCTCCCTAGCTGCCACCACTGACTGGTCACTTGCCCCCAGCAGAGGCTCCAGTGCTGAGGCCCAGAGAGCTCAGAGGGGCACAGAATGGAAGCCCACCCCTCACTGCAGCCCCAGGAAGGAGCCCAGCAGGGGAGACCTGGTCCCACTGCCCCAGGGTGGAATGGCAGGGGTGGGGGAAGGAAGAGCCTGTACGCCCTCCGGTCCCAGTCCCCTGCATTCAGGCGGGAAATGGAAGCGGCCACAGCAAATAAGCAGAGAGACAAAATCGGGCCTGGGCAGGAGAGACCCCTATGTTGGGGCAAGGGCAGCTGGGCCCACCTGCTGCACCCTCCTGTCTCCCTCCCTGTCCCAGTCCCCCTCCCTCTCCGCTAGTCTGTCTCCCCTCCCCCAGCCAGCCCCATCCCTGTGCCCTCCCCCACCCCTCTGGCACTCCCCGCCCACAGGGAGCGGAGGAAGAGGGGGTGGGGCGAGGGGAGGGGTGCCCTCCCTCTAACATGACCTGGGACAGTTTCCTTTCCGCCACCACATCTGCCTGAGCAGCCTGGGAGGAGGAGGGGGCAGCGCAGGCTGGGCAGGCTGGCGCTTTGGGCATGCGGACCCCACAGGGCCCCTGGGCTGTCCTGTGGGCCGTGCTGCAGCTGGGCTGGCGACCAGGATGGCTCCTAGGTACGTGGGGTCGGGGGTTGGGGGTCGTGGGGGTTTGGAGCGGGGCTCTGGAGAGACCTCCAGCCCCTGTCCCTGACAGGTGAGGAGGGCTCTGTGGGGCCATGAACAGCCCAGCATAGCCACTTGCCCGGTGGCGCTGTGTGGCTTCCCAAAGGTGAAGTGCTCTCTCTGGGCTCCGAATCCTCACCTGGCAAGGGTCCTCTCTTTGCTCTGGGGCAGGCAGGACCTCTGTCCTGTTTCGGCTGGTCCTCAGCGTCCCAGGGAAGGGGGTGAGCCCGTGTTCTTCTCTGTGGGACAGTGGGCCGGGTGGCCAGAGCCCCACACCTCGGGCTCTGCGGCTGTGTGGCTCTGCCCACTGTCCTCACTTGTGTTTTCCTGCGCATGGGACCAGCCCCACATGGGGACTGAACTTGGCTTGGTGACACCAAAGGTTAGACGAGCTGGGGACATTTTCCTAATGTAGCAAAACTGTAACCGAGAGTGAAGACTGCTCCTCTGTCCCCAGCGTGCCCTCGTGGGCCGGGGATGTGCCTCTGGGGCTGCTGGCCAGGACGGCAGGGTGTCCGAGGGGCCTGAGCCCCGAACAGACGGCCTGCCGGGTGCCCTCTGTCAAACTCTCCACGGTCCAGGAGGGGCTCCCTGGGTTTGCGGGGCCCTGGGCCTGCGCCCTGCCGCTCACTCCTTGACCCCCACCCTGGCCCTCTGTGCCCAGCTGACCTGCAGGGGGACAGCTGGTCTGGGGAGTGTGGTTTCCCCGACTCCAGGCCTGGGGCGATGGCCATCGAGGGCCAAGATGAGAAGCACCCTGGGGCAGTGCTGACTTCCTTCGGGGCTCCTGTCCTGGGGTCCCTGTGCCCAAAGGCCCCTCAGCCCCCTGTGGCCCCAGCCTTCACTGTCGCTGGCGGCTGGTTCCCCGCCTGGGAGCCCAGCTGCTTGTCCTCAGCTGCACCGGCCTCTCCGAGGCCCATGGTCGCTCTCGTGACTCAATGGGGAAACAGCTGGAGACGGTGGTGCAACAGCCTGTGGCCTTGTCGGGGAGACCAGGCCGGAGGAGGATGAGGACGGAAGGGGTGCAGCTGCCAGGGAGCAGGCGCCAAGGCACAGAGGGAGCGGTGGGAGTTGAGAGCGAGGTTTCTGCAGCCAGGCTCTCCCGCTGCCACTTGTCCCTGCGGGATTCTCAAACACAGCATGCCTCGGTTTCCCCACGCGCACCAGTTAGCACACAGCAGTTCTGCAGGTGCGGCGTGTGTTCCCAGGGCCCTGTCGGTCCTGTCCCAGCCTTGGCCAGCCCTGGCTGCAGGGATCTTTGTTCTGTGACACGGCCCTTTTCCTTCCGAATTTATTCACTGCATTTATTCCTTTGGTCCTTCCCACGGCAGTCGCCCCTGCAAGTGCGCTTTCACTTGTGTTTTAGGGGATGTCCCAAACCCCATAGTCTGCCGGCCCCTCCTCATGTGTGAGCGTGAGGGAGAGTGTGGACTGCCCTGAGTTCGGGCTGCGCTGCGTCCGTGAGCGTGGTAACCCGTGCCGCGCCACCTCTGCGCTGTCTGCGCGCTGGCTTTGGGGAGAGTAACGCCGCCCGGCAGGGCCTGCCGAGCCCAACCAGGCTGTCTGTGGACGCTGCCCAGCGAGGCTCAGGACACAGGTGTTAAAGTCAGCCTTTTTTATTGTTTTCAACCTACTGGTTTGAAAAATATTATAGGGAAAAGTTAGCTAACACACCAGTGAGCATCCTTCACCCAGAATCCCTACATGACAATATTGGCACGTTTACTTTCAGTATTAGTGGCAGGAGCTGCCATAATGAAGTGCCACGGAAACTCGTCCTACCCCAGTCTGGACCGGATGTCCGGGACCACGGTGTTGGCACGGTCTGTCCCTTCTCCACGTACGCAGCTTCCATTCTTTGACCCACTCGGGCATTAGCTGTAGACAGTAGAAGACACCTCGCTCCTCACCAGCCGGTCCTCTAGGGACAGGGGCCTGCTCACAGCACTCCTCCCTGCAGCAGCCCGTGAACCCGGCACTGTTGCCAGGCAGCCCCCCTGCACCCCCATCTAGCTGGCCAGGACCAGCCTGGCCCTCCGGCCCTGGACGGCCTGCTTCTGTCAGGGCCATGAGTCTGCAGGTTCTCCCCGTCTAGACCGGGCCCTGCCTTCTCTGTCGCAGCTGCTGCTGTGTTCCGGAACAGTCCAGGGATGTGTCTGGCTTTTGCCCGAGGAGGGTCAGGCTTGCATCTTGGCCAGGAACACCACAGATGGGGTGTCAGTCCTTTCTGGGGTGCCTGTTGGAGGACCCCATGATGGCACCCTTCCTTCTGTGGTAAGCAATGGCCCGACAGTCTGCGGGTGTGCTTTGGCACCCCAAGGTGGGCCTGGCCTAAATGAGGTGTTGGGAGGTGCTTGTGGAATGGGCTGTCTGTGAGGCAGCTTCTGAGCCAACGGCGGCTCCCACTTCTAAGCTCGCTTCAAAGGCCGGCCACGCTCACGCCCTCCCTCCTGGCCCTGTGCGGGGCATGGCCCTCTCTCACCCCTACACGGATCCCAGTGAGAAGCTTGAGGGAGACTGTGCAACCCCACAAAGCCCCATAAATATGACTTCACCCAGCATTAGCCAGCGGTCATTTCTAAACATTCACCTTCTTGGCGGGACTCTAATAGCTAAGGAGGCCAGGAAGGCTCCCTAGAGGAGGTGGGCCTTGGGTGGGAACTTCCGGATGGGCCGGGCAGGGGCCAGACAGTCCCCCTCAGCCTTCCCACACTGGGCCCCCAAGAGCAGGGGGTGCCGGGACAGGCTGGGGTGGGGAGGGGGCACGTGAGCTCCCAGAAAGTCCTGGCCCTCACCCCACCTGCCAGCCTGTGGGAGCCCAGCCAGACTCGCTGCCCTGAGTGGGCGGCCGGGGACCAGGGCCGGCCAGCAGGATCGCAGCAGAAAAGGCCTCCCTGGAGCTCACACAGCAAGGAAAAGGCGGTCCCCACACTCACTGCTCCAAGCAAATGACGTTTCCATTTCTAATTCCACAGACAAGCACTTCACGGTTGCCTAGATACTCGCAATGTGCAGTAGAGTGATAGCCCAGCCCGCTGCACCCAGAGTCACGCAGCGTCCGCGCCTCCCCGCCAAGCTGGGCTCCCAGCAGCACCCTGGCTGTGACCTGGCTTGGCCCTCTCTGAGCATGTGGGTGGTGCTCACCCCATCCCCGTCCCAGTGCACCGGTCCGGACACAAGTCGGGGGACGTGCTGGCTATGTCCATCCCTGCAGCCGTGCGGCCGCCCCAGTGTGAGCGATGGGGACCCACAAGTGCTGTCCCTTGTTCTGTGCTGAGGCCACCTGATCCCAAGCTCATCCCAACGAGGTCCCCAGCCCTGTGCTCTCTAGACCATTCCCAACGATTCCTTGGGACTCGGACCCTGGGAGCCTGTCCCGGGTCACTGAGTGCTGGCTGGGTGTCCCCTGGTGGTCCTGCCGCCCTGTGGCTCGGGAGGGGCCCTCCCTGGTCAAAGCCAGCTCTGGAGCAGCAAGAGGCCAGTGTCTGCCCCCACGCATCTGCCTGCCGAGGGTGGCCCCTGAGAGAGTCCCTGCCACTTCTGGGCACGCCAGGAAGACACTGGGGGACAGGTGGCGGCAGGAGAGTGCTTTGGAGGCGTCCAGGGAGCAGCCAGGAGGCCAAGGGGCACAGAGGGAGCGGGGACCACCCTGGGTGTGGCCTCAAGAGCCGCCGGAGGGACACAGGAGCCACAGGGGCTGGGACAGGACCAGGCAGGGCAGAGGGTCCCGCGCGCCAGCTCCAGTTTCGTGAGCAAGCAGGCGAGTGACTCCAGCTGTCACACGTCCAGGTGTGGCACGAATGAAGGCTGAACCGAGGGATGGCAGGGAGGGGCCTGCCAGGGCAGCCCAGAGGCCAGGTCGTGTCGGCCCAGAGCAGGGCAGGGCCATGGCCGAGCTGGCAGCCACAGCGCCCTCAGGGCTAGTGCTCCAACACCACCGCACGGCTTTGCCAGATCTGAGCCCAACGGGTGCTGTTATTCACTGAATGCTTTTCTTGAAAGAGGTTCATGTTCCTTGAACAAATGTATGAAGAAATGCGTATTAGTGTGGCTGCAGGAGGTTCCCAGGGGCCGTGCAGCTGCGTGGGGTCTGGCCCCGGGGTGGTGGGCTGGGCAGTGGCGTACTGTGGCTCAGAGGTGCAAAGTCAGCATGAAGAAAGGGCTTACCGAGGCCGCCTCGTGTTCCTGTCGCTCTGAGCCGGGTCAGAGAGCAGCCCCGGGCTCCATGGGGCGGTGGGCCTCCTGACAGGGGAGGACCTCACCTGCACCGGCCACCCCCAGCCCAGGCTGGGCCCTCCCAGGCCACCTTGGCCTCCCCAGAACCCCTGTCCCTCCTGCCGGGTGCAGAGCTGTCTGCAGAGCCACACGCTAGAGCCACACGCTACGTGGCCCACGCCCTCTCCGCACAGCGCCCTCCACAGGGCTCTGGCTCAGGCCGCGCCCCTCAGGTTCAGCAGGCAGGCTACGCAGGAAGCCTGTGCCCGCCCTGTCTGCCACCACGACTGGGGTGTTGGGGAGCTCAGGGTCCTGGCCCAGAACTGCTGTCGCGGCCAGGGCTGTGGCGGGGCCGCCCAGGATCCTCCCTGGTCTCACCTCTCACAGTCATCCGGCACTTTCCAAACATCTCCAATTTCTTTCCTAAGCAAGGGGGGGTCGCTTCAGACACCTCAATTGCCCATGTGAGCTTCCCGGTGGGGACGGGCATGAGTCGGTCCTGGCCACAGGCCCCGGGCGTGGCTCACTCGCCTCTCATGCCTGGCCCCACACAGCAGGACCCGGGCCGGCCCGACCACAGGGCCGCCGGGGCTGGCTGCCCCCTTCCTCCTCGGAGCCCTGACTACTCCATGAGGTCCCCACACTGCCCAGAGGCCTCTGCCCCAGAAGCAGTAGAGGGACCCGTAGCCGTGGCGGCTGCTTCTTCGTCACCGGGTGCTGGGGCCAAGCCCGGCCAGCGTCGCGGTGATGGAGCTGAGAGAGCACACCCGGACTGACGTCGCAGGGCCGGGCCAGCGCCTGGGAACCAGCGGGGTCAGGAGGCTGGGTGGGCAGGAAGGTCACCTCTCTGTGCTGCGGGGAGATGTCTCAGGTCTTGGTCGGTGCCTCCCCCGGGAGGAAGCCACTTTCCCACGAGGCTGGAGGTGCAGGCAGGGGTCACAGGGGCAGAGGGGGTTCTGCTCTGCTCTGCCCCTCGCTCCGGCACCAGCACACACCCGGGGTTGGGTCTGCAGCAGCTTCAGCCTGCACTTCCTCTCTGCACCTCGGTTTCCCTATGTGTAAATCAGGGACCACGGTAGAGCCAAGCGCAGTCTCCCAGGGGGTGAAGCCTGGCATGTGTGGGCTCTTTGTCCCTCCCGGGACCCCCGACTGTGGGTGGGAAACACCACTGCTGGTCACATGGGGCGAGATGGGAGCTCCTCTTCCCGTGTGCCAGCCAGCACATGTATGTGAGGGTGGGCGTGAAAGGGCATGAGTACGTGTGGGTGGTGTGCATGTGTGTGAGTACGTGTGAGGGTGTCCATGAGGCAGCGTCTTTGGCAGGAGAGCGGCCACCACCACCACACCCTTACGCAAGGTGTCCGGGGACCGGGAGGCCCGTTGCTGTCACGGGAGTGCCGATGGCCCTGCTGAGGACTCGGTCCCAGGGTCCCAGCTCTGAGCTTGTTCTGAAAGCGGGGCAGAGGCTGGACCCTGAGCCTGCCAAGAGGACCCACTGCCTCCAGGGCTGGGGTCTCCATCCAGTCCCCCGTGCGCCCGACCCAGCATCCCTCTGCCGGAGCAGTGCAGGTGGGCCCAGGGCAGGGCCCTTGAGGGGCAGGGCCCAGGTGGGCAGAGCTGGAGCATACCTGCGGGTTGGCCTAGGCGGCAGCCGTGCACAGCCCTCTCTGGGGGCTCAGAGCCTGGAGGGGAGGGGGAAGGCTTCTGGGGGAAACAGGGTTTGGGGAGGAGCCCCAGCCGCAGGTCTCGAAGTCGAAGGTGACCTGGGGACCTGGTGGAGGGTCTGCCCAGGATGCTGCCAGGCTGGGGAAGGGGGTCTCACCGGCTGCCGTCCAGCCCCTCCCTCATGCTGGTCCCTCTCCCTCTCCACCCGCAGATGCCCCCGACAGGCCCCTCAGCTTCTCCCCCGCCCGGCTAACGGTGCCCGAGGGGGCCAATGCCACCTTCACCTGCAGCTTCTCCAACACGTCGGAGATCTTCGTGCTGAACTGGTACCGCATGAGCCCCAGCAACCAGACCGACAAGCTGGCCGCCTTCCCCAGGGACCGCAGTCAGCCCGGCCAGGACCCCCGCTTCCACGTCACGCAGCTGCCGGACGGGCGCGGCTTCCACATGAGCGTCGTGGCCGCCCGGCGCAATGACAGCGGCACCTACCTCTGTGGCGCCATCTTCCTGAAGCCCAAGACGCAGATCAAAGAGAGCCCCCGCGCAGAGCTCACAGTGACAGGTGCGGCCTGAGACAGGGCAGGGGTAGGGCGAGCAGGGGAAGGAGCAGGCAGCCCCGCCTGCGCAGAAACAGGAGCCCGCAGGGGTGTGGGGGCAGGGCCTCTGTCGGTCTCACAGGGCCATAGTGACTGACCCCTGATGGGGAGGTATGCCAGGTAGGAGCGTCCTGGGTGGACGCTCGTCTGAGGAGCAACCAAGTAGCAGCTGGGCACTGCGAGGCTGGGGTCCTGCAAGGCCCCTCAGGTCATGGAGAGGGCAGGGCAGGTAACTCTCGGGGGAGGGGAGCACATGGAGGGTGCCCTGAGGACCCAGCCCCTGAGGACCTAGTCCCCCAGGACCCAGCCCCCAGGACCCAGCCCCCAGGACCCAGCCCCGAGGACCCAGTCCCCAGGACCCAGCCCCCAGGACCCCAGCCCCGAGGACCCAGTCCCCCAGGACCCAGTCCCCCAGGACCCAGCCCCCAGGACCGTGCCCCTAACCTGTGTCCTTTGTGCCCTTGCAGAGAGAGTGGAGGAATCTTCCACACCGCACCCCAGCCCCCTGCCCACGCCAGGGGGCCAGTTCCAAAGCTTGGTGGTCAGCATCACCAGCGTCCTGGTGTGTGTCCTGGTGCTGCTGCTACTGGCCTGGGTCCTGACTGCCGTCTGCCCCAGGGCCACTCGAGGTGAGGTCTGCCGCAGCCCTGCCGGCACCCCGCTGTCCTCCCTGGGCCCCTCCCCACAGTGAGGACCCTGCCCGGGGAGGAGCTGGGCTGGGGTGTCCCAGCGTCTCTGGGGTCATGCAAGCCCCAGCCTTGTCCCCTCCCCACCTGCTCTCGGGAGGCTCTGATGCCTGGAGGAGGCAAGAGCCTCAGCACCCCTGGGGAGAGGCAAACCTCAGGACCCCGACCTTAGAGGTGTGAGGTAAACAGGACGCATGGGGCTGAGCCCAGGCGAGAGGGGTGGTGAGAGACACCCTGACCATGTGACCCCCATGAAGGCTGAAGACACCCCACATCCTGACCCTGTGATGGCTGAGGACATCCCACACCCTGACCCCCATGAGGGCTGAGGACACCCACACTCTGAACCCCATGTAGGCTGAGGACACCCCACACCCTGACCCCCATGAGGGCTGAGGACACCCCACACCCTGACCCCCATGAGGGCTGAGGACACCCACACTCTGAACCCCATGTAGGCTGAGGACTCCCCATACCCTGACCCCCACGAGGGGTGGGGGTCAGGGTATGGGGAGTCCCCTCACTACATGGGGTTCAAAACGAGTTCGTGCTCAGCCCTCCATGTGGGGTCAGGGTGTGGGGTGTCCTCAGCCCTCTGGGGTCGAGGGTGTGGGATATGTCCTCAGCCCTCATGGGGTCCAGGGTGTGGGGATGTCCTCAGCCCCTTCGTGGGGTCAGGGTGTGGGGGTGTCCCTCCAGCCCTCGGGGTCAGGGTATGGGGAGTCCTCCAGCCTACATGGGGTTCAGAGTGTGGGTGTCCTCAGCCCTCCATGGGGGCGCAGGGTGTGGGTGTCCTGCGCCCTCATCGCGGTAGGTGTGGGGTGTCCCCGCCTACATGTGGTTCCAGAGTGTGGGTGTGTCCTCAGCCCTCAATGGGGTCAGGGTGTGGGGTGTCCTCAGCCCTCATGGGGGTCAGGTGGGGTGGTCCTCAGCCCTCATGGGTCAGCGTGTGTGTGGTGTCCTCCAGTCCCCCTCATTGGGGGTCAAGGGTGTGGGGTGTCCCAGCCTCATTCGTGCGTCAGGGTGTGGGCTGTCCAGCTCGCTCATGGGGGTCAGGGTGTGGGGATGTCCTCAGACCACGTCATCGGGGGTCAGGGTGTGGGTGTCCGTCCAGCCCTCATGGGGGTCCCAGGGTGTGGGGTGTCCTCAGCGCCTCCATGTGGGTCAGTGGTGTGGGATAAACTGCAGCCCCTCATGGGGGTCAGGGTGTGATGTCCTCCCAGCCCTCGTGGGGTTCAGGTGTGGGGTGTCCTCCAGGCCCTCCATGGGGTCAGGGTTGGGTGTCCTCAGCCCTACATGTGTTCAAGTGTGGGTGTCCTCAGCCCTCATAGGGGTCCAGGGTGATGGGTGTCCTCAAGCTCATGGGGTTCTAGAGTGTGGGGTGTCAGGCTCATTCGGGGGTGCAGAGTGGTGGGGTCCTCCAGCCCTTCGTGGGGGTCAGGGGTGGGTGTCCTCAGTCCATGGGGTTCAGAAGTGTGGCGTGCCTCCCAGCCTCATGGGGGTCAGGTTGGGGTGTTCCCTCAGCCCCTCATCGGTGGGTCAGGGTGTGGGGTGTCCTCAGCCCTACATGGGGTTCAGAGGTGGGTTCTCCAGCCATCATGGGGGGTTCAGGGTGTGAGAATGTCCCCTCGAAGCCCATCACCAGGGTCAAGGATGTGGGTGTCTTCAGCCCTTCATGGGGGTCACATGGTCAGGCGATGTCTTCCCACCACCTCTCCGCTGGGCTCACCATGCGTCCTGTTACCTCCACCCTCTAAAGGTCGGGGTCCTGAGGTTTGCCATCCCTCCCCCCAGGGGTGCTGAGGCTCCTTGCCTCCTCCAGGCATCAAGCCTCCGAGAGGCAGGTTGGGAGGAGACAAGCTGGGCTTGCATGACCCAGAGACGCTGGGACACCCCAGCCCAGCCATCCCCCGGGCAGGGTCCTCACTGGGGGAGCCAGGGAGGACAGCGGGGTGCCGCAGGGCCTGCGGGCGACCTCACCTCGAGTGGCCTCGGCAGACGGCATCAGGACCGCAAGGCCAGTAGCAGACACAGGACACCCACACCAGGAACGCTGTGACGCTGACCCACCGCAACCGCTTGGAACCGGCGCCCCCTGGCGTGGCAGGGGCTGGGTGCGGTGTGAGATTCCTCCCACTCTCCTCTGCAAGGGCACCAGAAGGACACAGGTTTACCGGGCACGGTCCCCTGGGGCTGGGTCCTGGGGGCTGGGTCCTGGGGGGCCTGGGTCCTGGGAACTGGGTCCTGGGGGGGGTCGCTGGGGCTGGTCTGGGTGGGTTAGGCTGGGGTCTGGGTTGGGTCTGGGGGGCTGGTTGGGGATGGGTCTGGGGTGGTCCTGGGGGCTAGGTCACTGGGGACTGGTCTGGGGCTGGGTTCCTGGGGCGACTGGGTCTGGGGCTGGGTTCCTGGGGGACTGGTCCCGTGGGGGACTGGGTTTCTGGGGGCTGGGTCCTGGGGACTGGGTCCCTGGGGGCTGGTCGCTGGGGGGCTGGGTCCTGGGGCTGGGTCGCTCAGGGGCTGGGTCCTGGGGGGCTGGTCTGGGGCCCTGGTCTGGGGGACTGGTCCTGGGGGCTGGGTCTGGGGCGGTCCCTGGACTGGGTCCCTGGGCTGGTCCTGGGGACTGGTCCCTGGCTGGGTCGCTGGGGACTGGGTCGGCTGGGGGAACTGGGTCCTGGGGAGGCTGGGTCCTGGGGCTGGGTTCCTGGGGACTGGGTCCTGGGGCTGGGTCCTCCGGGGACTGGGTCGCTGGGGCGGCTGGTCCTGGGGGCTGGGTCTGGGGACCTGGGGTTCCATGGGGAGATGGTCCTCGGGGCTGGTCTGGGGAGGTCTGGGGGACATGGGTCCTGGGGACTGGGTCGCTCCGGGACATGGTCCTGGGGACTGGGTCATGGGGCGACGATGGGTCGGGGGAACTGGTTGGGCTGGGTTGGGGGGGGGGGGGGACACACCCACTGGGCTGTCTGGGGGGAGGGCCTGGGGGACTGGCTCCTGGGGAGCTGGGTCCGGGGGCTGGGTCCTGGGGGACTGGGTCACTGGGGCTGGGTCCTCGGGACTGGCCTGGGGGGGCTGGGTCCTGGGACTGCGTCCTGGGGTGACTGGGTCCTGGGGACTGGGTCCCGGGGCTCAGGTCCTGGGACTGGTCTGGGGGACTCGGCCTGGGGCTGGCCTGGGGACGGTCCTGGGGGACTGGGTCTGGGGGACTGGGTCGCTCCCCAGGGGCTGGGCCTGGGGACTGGGTCGCTGGGGCCCCTGGGTCCTCCCGGGCTTGGTCCTTGGGGGGCTGGGTCTGGGGAACTGGGTCCTGGGGGACCTGGCGGGTCCATCCGGACTGGGGTCCTGGGGACTGGGTCCTGGGGGTCTGGTCCTGGGGACTGGGTCGCTGGGGGCTGGGTCTGGGGGATGGGTCCTGGGGGCTGGTCCTGGGGGCTGGGTCCTGGGATGGTCCTGGGGCTGCCGTCCCTGGGGATGGGTCCTGGGGGCTGGGTCCCTGGGGGCTGGGTCCTGGGGGCTGGGTCCTGGGGACTGGGTCCTCGGGGCTGGGTTTCTGGGGGGATGGGTCCTGGGGGACTGGGTTCGCTGGGCTGGTCCTGGGGACTGGTCCTCGGGGCATGGTCCTTGGGGGGCTGGGTCTGGGGACCTGGTCGCTGGGGACACTGGTCCGGGGACTGGTCCTGGGGACTGTTCCTCGGGGCTTGGTCCCTGCGGGGCGGGTTGGGCTGGGTCCTGGGGGGCGCCCGGGTCCGGGACTAAGGTCCCTCAGGGGCCTGGGTCCTCCAGGGCACCCTCCATGATGCTCCCTCCCGGGAGTTACCTTGCCCTGCCGTTCCATGAACCTGAGGGGGCCCTTGCAGGACCCAGCCTCGCAGTGCCGCCAGCTGCTATCGGTTGCTCCTCAGACCCGAAGGCGTCCACCCAGGAACACTCCCACCTGGCAATATCCTCCCATCAGGGGTCAGTCACTTGGGCCGCTGTTGAGACCGACAAGAGGCCTGCCCCCAACACCCCCTGCCGGCTCTGTTTCTGCCGCAGCGCGGGCTGCCGCTCCTTCCCCTGGCTCTCCTAACCCCCTGCCCTGTCCTCAGGCCGGCCACCTGTCACTGTAGCCCCTGCGCGGGGAATTCTCCCTTTGATCCGCGTCTTGGGCCTTCAGGAGATGGCCGCCACAGAGGTAGTGCCGCTTCCATCCTGCGCCGGGCGACACGACGCTCATGTGGAAC